CACATCTCTCCCCGCAGCCTCCCGAGCCGACCCGGTACGAGATATCCGTTGCGAGTTTTGCGGCGAATATTTCGAGAACCGCAAAGGTTTGTCGAGTCACGCTCGATCCCACCTCCGCCAGATGGGGGTGACCGAGTGGTCGGTTAACGGTTCACCCATCGACACCTTACGGGAGATCCTCAAGAAGAAAACCAAACCTTGCGTTATCAAGAAAGAACCTCACACTTCCAGCATTGAACCTCCTAAATCTTTCGGGGAGGAAGGGACGGATCCCAAATCCCCTGGGAAAATCCTCCAGGGAATGGCTCTGCCTCCTCTGGGCGGGCGGACGGGGAAACCCAACCCCGGTAGTTCCACTTTGAACCGGGAGATCTCATTGTCACCTCTCACCAGCAAACCCCAAGGTGGTTTCCTGACGCCGTTATCCGCCAAACGACCGTTACCGGATGATCGGTTGGGTCCTCACGCCGAAGTCAAGCACAAGGCGTACATCCAAACCGAGCTGCCTTTCAAAACCAAATCCGTGCACGACAAACCTGCGCACACGTGTAAGTGGGGAATGTGGGGAGGAGAAGCGCGGCGTGGCCTCTCTGGGATGTGGCCTCTCGGGTGTCCCCTCTCCGGGGTGTCCCCTCACCAGGGTGTGGCCTCTCGGGTGTGGCCTCTCTGGGGTGTCCCTTCTCCAGGGTGTGGCCTCTCTGGGGTATGGCCTCTCCAGGGTGTGGCCTCTCCGGGGTGTCCCCTCTCCGGGGTGTCCCCTCTCCGGGGTGTCCCATTGTGCAGTAGGATGGCCACTGGGAACGCACAGATCTGTGCCGGGATGGGGGTTTTTGGCTCATGGAGTTGCAGATCCTGGGGAGAGGAGCGGAGATTTGAGGTAGTTGCCCAGTTTATCCGGTTTCTGTGGAGCTTTTTCCCCCTGCCACATCCTGGGGAGACTCCTGGAGCTGGAAAAACCCCGGGAATTTCAATCCCAGGGAAGATCTGCCTCGGTGCAGAGCGTGGAGACAGCCGGTGTTGGTGGGGTGTGGCTCCGTGCCGCGTCCCTGCCTTCACCGCGTGTTTTCCATCCCCGCCTCAGCCGGCGAAGATTGCTGCGAGCTGTGCGGCCTCTACTTCGAAAACCGCAAAGCCCTGGCCAGCCACGCGCGGGCGCATCTCCGGCAATTCGGCGTCACCGAATGGTGCGTTAACGGTTCACCCATCGAGACCCTGAGCGAATGGATCCGACATCGACCTCAAAAAGCCGGCGCTTACCGGAGTTACATCCAAGGCGGGCGGCCCTTCACCAAGAAATTCCGTAACTCTTCCCACGCCCGGGATCACGACGGCGGGGGCGGCGCTCGCCGGATGCCTCTCAGCCTTCAAGCCAGTGGTGTGACCCTTCTGAGTAAAGGGTTAACAGGAGATTTGGCTCACGGTGACGCTGGAAAAATTTTGGATGGGGGAAGCAGCGGTGAGCGGCCCATGATCACTTCTCCTCTCTCGTTGGTGAAGTTGGAGGAACATCAACGCTCCAACATCAACAGTGAGTTGGGGAGGAGGCAGCCAGGAGAGGGCAGAGGGGTCTCCAGCGCCGGAAAAAACCACACTGTGTCCCCTCTGCCTGTTCCCGGCAACACCGGGGTGGGATTCTGGAGATGAGACCCCTCATTTTCCTCCTTCATCTCCTCCTCTTCCTCCCAGGGATGCTCTGTGATGAGTGGGGGCTGCTCCCTGCATCCGGGGAAGGCAGTGCCGGTGGTGCTGTGCCGCACCATCTTTGGTGCCCCCCACCCTGATCTAACCCCATCATATCTCCTATCCCAGAGTTTGAGCGGAGGCAGGCGAGACCCCTGGACGCTCCCCTCCACCGGGAAGAAGAAGGAGCCGAATTCCAGCAGAAAATGGAGGAGACGCGGCAACCGCCGCCACGGATGAGGCCGGTGCCTTCCCTGGTTCCTCGTCCGCCGCAAACCTCTTTGGTGAAGTTTGTGGGGAACATCTACACCCTCAAATGCAGGTGGGTCACCTCGGGAATCCCACGTCCCTAGGGATCCAGTTTCCTGGTGGGAAGCTCTGCCTGTCCCAACTCCACCCTGTGGATCCTTCTTCTTTTCTTCCTTTGTTTGGAGAATCTTTCCCTCAACCCGCGCTGTTCTCCGTTAGGTTCTGCGAGGTGGAATTCCAAGGTCCCCTCTCCATCCAGGAGGAATGGGTTCGACATCTCCAACGACACATCCTGGAAATGAATTTTTCCAAAGCGGATCCTT